CTCTTTCACTGTTGCAGGTTGCTGACCCCTGAACTAGACATACCCAGTTCCAGCAACCATTCCTTATATGTTTTAGCCTCCAGTCTCCTAATCATCTTTGTTGCTCTTCTCTGTACTCTTTCTAGAGTCTCAACATCTTTTTTACATCGTGGTGACCAAAACTGGATGCAGTATTCCAAGTGTGGCCTTACTAAGGCATTGTAAAGTGGTATTAACACTTCACATGATCTTGATTCTATCCCTCTGTTAATGCAGCCTAATACTGTGTTGGCCTTTTTGGCAGCTGCAGCACACTTCTGGCTCATATTTAAGTGATCATAAGTTGAGGATTCCCTGGACTAACTACAGCAAGATACTTTTGACTCTGTGCTACAGGCTGTGCAACACACAAACACCCTCATTGCCCCATGAATATAACATTTATGTGCTTTGTGTGATATATATTTTTTTACTTTGCTGGTACATTGAGAATTGGGTTTATATTACTACCATCCCCACCCCTATTATTTTTTATTCTTCTAGCTTGCCTTTACCTCAACTGATCAAAGTTGTCTCTCGAGTTCGTTGTGCTGAATATATTTGAAAAATATATTTATATTCTGAATATTCAGTATAATAGTATATGTTACTGAAATTAATGCAGTTAATAAATCCATGTTCATGTTGTTGAACAGAACAATTCTGGGCAGGAGTTACTTTTATTAAAGTTATGTTGTTTATGTGGTGTTTCTGGAATAAACAGACTGAAAGGAAACTTGACTACTGTATGGCACATACTGACATATTTAAAAAATTTCTCCATTGTTTTTGCTAAAAACTAGAGCAATATTATATGACAAACGCAAAATGTAACCTGAGGCTGATCGTACTGGTGAAATAATTTCTTATTTTCTCTTTGGAGCTAAAACAAAGAGAATTCCATATAAGAAATGGTGAAATGAGAGGATTGGTCCCAATTTCTAAGCAAACTGATCAATTTTAGAAATAAAAACTATTTTCTGGGTTTTGCACTCTTTTATGCTCCTTGGAAGTTTGTAATACACTTATAAGCTAAAAAAAATATGAAAATACATACAAAATATTATAGATAATTTGTGTAGGAATATGTGTAGGAAAATAGACTTAAAAGTCTGTTTATAAATTTACATTATATCATTTTGTATTATATTATTAAAAATGTCAAAAGCATTATTAATATTAATGTAGTTTTTAAAAAGAAATAAACTGATATTTAAATGAGAAAGAATTGACTTATGAAAGAACAAATATGTGCATAGGATATGGCCATAAGAATCAAGATGGCAGCCACAGTGGTGTGATTATTTATTTATTTAGCAAACTTGTACGCTGCCCATCTTGTTGAAGGTGACTCTAGGCAGAATAAAATACAGAATAAAACATTAAAATGATAAAGATCTTAAATTTAAAAATACAATTAAAATAAAACTAAACAGGATTGAGAGGAAGAGAACAAAGTGCTCATAATGTGGAATAATGAACAATCACTAGAATAATGATGTGTCTGCATAATTACTGTAATAGTGCTGTGTTAGTAGTATGTGACTAACCTAATGTGCATTGCACTTGGATACAATGTATGTAGCAAACTCTCCATTGTATACCCGTGAGAAATGAACCTAATGTATTATAATGTGTATTTCAATGTGTATTCTTTTGTTCCTGAGAAAAGGAAAGTATAAAACTGAAGTCTGAACCCGCCCTCGGGGTTCAGAATTGCTTGTTGCTATTGCTTCTGAACCTGCGCAATAAATCTCTCTGCTAAAACCCTCTGGAATTCGTAAGAGTCCTTTCGTTTTCCACAAGACTCAGAGAGGAAATGGGGTATTCTCTACTCTATCAGCCACTTCCAATGTGCCACACCTCCATTAGGACCCCAAGCTAGTTGACATAGCTATGTCATCAAGGCTTTTCAGAAGGATGGAAATGCATCTGACCGGGGGGGGGGGCAAGATGTTTTAAAGGACAGGAGCCACCACCAGAAAAGACTCTTCTTCGAGACCCTGCCTGCCAAAATTCCTTGGCCAACATGCTCTTCTGTGGCACAAGTGGGGCAGGGTAATCCCATCAGATTGAGCCAGTTTCTCAGATAACCTGGACCCATGCCACAAAGGGCTTTAAAGGTGATAACCAATACTTTGAATTGGACCCAGAAGGAAACTGGCAGCCAGTGCAGCTCACAGAACAGTGATGTAACATGGGATATGTGACAAATGTTCTGTCATTTTTTGTACGTATGTTGCACAGATAAAAGCAAACTGTTCTCCCAACCTAAGGATGCATATTGGATTCTCATCGATATAGATAAAAATTCTTCTTTGATGATGAACCTGCTTCTATACTGAGTTATCACCAAATCAATGTGGAATGCAGATTTCCTTTAATAATTCATCCACATTGTCATAAGGGAACACTATGATGCAAAAATCTTCTTCTATTAAAGATTTATATTCTGGCTGTGCAATTCAAATTGACATATATCAGTCTTCACCATTTTTTCTTCTGCTGCCTGAATCATGTGGAAGCTGTGATCTGGACACATCTGAAATATTCCAAGTTGGAGAAGTCAACATTAGGAATAGTCAACAGTGAGTTAAAACAATAAAGAATACAGTAGATCATTAACTACATAAAACTGACCAGCAAAGTAGAAGTCAGATCATGTTTGCGTATAATAGACGTTCATTCTCCTGTTTAGAAGCTACTTCCTTTTATTAAAGCAGTTGCTCTGGTAGGCCTCTCTCTCCTCCAGGGTGGACACGGCACACTTATGAACTCCAAATTATACTGTGGATTACGATCAGCCACAATTTTAATTTTCCAGTGTGCCATTGGAGACAATGCAATAAATTTAAATGGCAACTAACTCAATTGCCGGGCTACTCAAAGCAGACTTTTTAAAATAAGGAAGACTGGCCAGACTGTGGGCTCCATTTTAACACCAGGATCACTGAAGCTACAAAATGCCAAGCAGACGACCTGGGAATTAAAATAAAAAATTATCTCTGAAATAAGGTTCATTAAAGACAGGTTACCAGGTTATGGTGATCCACAGCATAGTGGCTTAAGAGAAGTGGCTAACACCAGTGTCCTTCCAGTTAAGTCATCTAAGGTAGTAGACTCTGACAGTGATCAGTCTGGACAGCCATTACCAGAGACAGAAGTCTAATTCTATATTTAGAGACTTTTAGAGTACACTCATTGAAATAATAGCACTTACATCATAACTAACTTAAGGCTCATTGATTTATGACCGAAACTGGGATGCAGCCCAGAGGATGCAATTGATTCAGAAAATGTGTGGAGGGTTTTTTTTTTTATTACATTCACTGATTTTCCAGCCAGTTTTTTTTTTTTTTAACTGTAACCAAAGATTCCCTCTCCCACCTTCATTTTCTACTGAGGATTGTTCTTTTAGCTACTGAATATAATCTGTTCTAATTGCACTTGGAAGAAAAACCAGAATACCCCTTCCAAACTTAAAAGAAGAATTGATCCCAAGATTACCTGACCTGGAAAAAGCATCTCTTGAGATTGCCAAGCTAATTGAAATTATGATTTTTTTCATAGCTAACATAGCTAGCACAATTTCATGTTGTCCACTTCTGCTTTAGGAGATTCCCAAAGTAATACATTTCCTGAATCCTTAGAGTAGAAGATAACCCCCTTCTTGTGCCTCTAATACCCTGGCTGTGTTAGCTGTGAATAGGAATTGACAATTTCTTGTCCTCCTCCAAATGAGAATTCCAGTCATCCTGGCCCTAAAACCCAAGGAAGAGATTTTTACTGCCTTTGTAAAGGCCATTGGGGCTGGAACCAACCAAATGTCAGAGTGAAGAAAATTGCAGAAGAGAGATGCCACAGCAGAAAAGACATGCCTCCTGATCTAGTCAGATGGTATAGTTTTAAGGAAGAACCCTGGAGCACACCCACCGTTAGACATGTGGGACAGTCAGATAGCACTGGGAGTGATACCCCAGGCCTGTGCCTTATAAGGCTTCATGGGTGATAAATAGGACCTTGAATTGTAGATTTATAGGCAGCCAGTGCAACTTGCAAAGTGATATATTACACAGGCATATAGCGGTATGACCATAAATATCCTGCCACTGCATACAGGACAAATTGTAGCTTTTGGGGTGCCTTCAAGGGCAACCCACATAATGCACATAACAACAAGCAACCAGGAGGTGACTACAGCAGGAATAACAGTGAGTAAGGCCTCTCAATCCAGGGATGGATGCAATTGGTACACATTACAAAATTGTGCAAAGGATCTCCTGCCTACAGTTGTTAGGTGCCATCTCTCAATGTCAGCAGCAAACAACACTGGTATAAGTAGTATTTATTTTAAAAAAATGGAGAAGCAGACTTTCTTCTTTACTCCATCACAAGACCAGATGGGACATGACTATTTGCATTTATCTCAGTTTGCTGCCCATATCCCGAGTCCCAAAATACTGTATTGTGTCATTGCCCAATTTAGGAAGAATTTCTACAATAGAGGACCTTGTTATTTCTGGAGAATGGCCATAGGAGAAACCTAGAAACTTTTAGGGATTAAAGGGAGCAGCGAACTCAACATTCCAAAGGTGCTTCCTACAAACTTCATGCCCCCCTCCATGTTCAGTTGCAAATATTGGGAAGAAAGTGGGATGAAAGGAGTGCATTTATCCTTGGGGCTGAATTGCAAATGGAACAAATTATGGGATGGCTAAGGTGAAAATCCAGATGTTCCTTGAAAAGTGAGTATGCAGAGAAAACATTGTATGAAGCAAACTTGGATTATATAAATGTGAACTGAGCTAGGTATATCCATACCACTGTTAGCTGGACTAATTTAAATATATGCTTATGGCATTAATTTAGGTGTTTACCGTATAATGAAAGGGATAGGGTACAGGGTAGGGCAAGTGTACCATTGCCATATGTGCGATGTTGCTAAATGCTTCAGAATATACAATAAATGCCATTTCAAACAGTTTTCTTTGTACATTGTTTTATTTCTCAGTTTGTTTGAAATTATCTGCAGCACAAGAATACATTTTTTTTATATTTAAACAGGGCCTTTTTCTCCCCCCAAAGAGAATAGTAATTGAGTAGATATTGTTGATTTTGCTTCTGAACTGTGACATCTTGCTTAAATTTGCACAAGCTTCCCATTTTGGGGGGAGGGGTGTCTCTTAAGCATCAGGCTATAGGAGCTGAACCTAGTTTGGGCCACATTCATTAAAGAATGGCTACAAGTTGGAAACTCAGCTCAGACGTGTAAAAAATTCAACCATTTACATTCTTCAGTCTTTCTTTATAATCCCCCCCCACACACACACCTTTTCCCCTTTTCTTTTGGAGTTGTTTTAGCTTGCTTTCAAAATACACTTTTAACAACTTCAGAATGGGCATCTAGTTATGAAGAACAATACAATAACCCTTATTTGGCATAAACAATATTGTTTGGCTGGGGGCTTGAAGTTCCTTTACATTCCACTCCAAAGTAATGCCCATTATTTCTCAGATACAAGTGGAATGAAAGATCTGAATTGATCCCCATGAAAACGAGGGAGTGATTTTTTTTTTTCCATTCAAGGCCAGAGGTCTCCATTTCCAGAGAGGAATGTAAAATAAGAGCAGCATCTGTTGCCTTCGGGGCTCACACAAAAGGTTATGTTTCACAGACAACTATTGTCAGTGTATAAATACGCAAAGCTTTGGAAGGGAGAGAGTACATCACAGGATTTAGGTGCAGGCTCAGAAGAAGAATACACCTCTTTGGGAAGGTGCAGACTTTTGCTAGCGTCATCACTATATCCTAATGAGGGCACTTACCTGCATGCCTTGTCCTAAACTAATCCTGGATTAGCATTTGGATAAGATTTCAGAATTGCCTACTCCAGGGAAGCTATAATTGTACTTGCAGATAACAAACCATTCTTGTACTTAAGAGACTTTCCCCACACTTAACCCACTGTATATTCAAGATTGTTTAAACTGCTGTAAAGAACAAAAAATATATTTGCACATTCACAAATACACTTCCGGATGGGATTGCTTGTTAGAGTTCTTGTTAAACTCTATTGCTGTTAAGGGTATTTACACACACACCCATAAACTGCTGCTGTGGTAGATTATTGTAGTCTTCCTTTGGGACACGACTGATCATGCTAAACCAAAACATATGCTGCAAAAGCCTCCTTATAGCTTATATAAGCCAGACTGAATCACCTACAAATAAGAAGGAAAATGCATTTCTTTTTCTCATTCTCTTACATCCACTGAATATTATATGATCTATTTAGCAGTGTTGCAGCTGTGGGCTTTAATGATCCCGAAAGGGCCCATGAATAGCAGAGAAACAGGATCTACATTTCTTCTAAATTATATTGTACATCAGTAGACTATATTCTAGATGGCTCAAAGATGTGGGCCCAGTTTTCTTCTATGTCAGAGTCAGGGTTTTTGCTGTTACTGATGATTGGATGCTGGAACCTGTGGGTCTGGGTAGGTTAAGAATGGCCCCAATTAGTTGCAGGGCTAGGCAACCTTAAGTGATCTCAAAGATGATTTAAGATCAAATGTGATAAGTAGCTGGATATCAGATCCCCAGCAAATCCCAGAATTGTAGACTAGACTGGAAGACAAAAAAAAAAAAAGCCACTTCCATATTACTACTAAGAAAACTATGGAGAAGGCATTCATCACGTCACTAGGAATTAAATTTAAGGTGAAGAGATTTTAAGAGCTTACAAATGACTGCAGGTTATGTACAATGAAAAAATAGGTTCACACATTGTACTAAATCATAATGCGACTTGTTTGCTTTTGCTTTAAAAATGCCATATGATCAAGTTATTTAAACTCAGATTTACTCAACATAGAATGAAGGAAATTGTGGCTTAAAACACCTTGTGAAGCAAATCATAGTTTCATCAGTGCAGGAACAAAAAATTATAGTTTCTGCATTAAACTTCCTGTTAGATTTTTTTTTATTATTATTATCCCTAAGTGACAAGAAGGAATATTTCCTGGACGTGCCTTTGAAATGTACCTCCCAACTGAAATTTAAACCATGTCTGTAACATCAGGTCATGAACAAAGAAACTGTCCTATGAAATCAGACTATTGGTTCAGTTGACCCAGCATCTAATCTTTGGCAGTGACTCTCAAAAAATCTCCCTCAGAGGACTTTTACATCTGCAAACAGATGCACCAAAGGATACACCTGGGAATTTCTATATGAGAAACAGGTAGTCTTTTTTTCTTCTACCAATGATTGCTGTCTTGGAGAATACTGTTGTTAGGACAATAGATGTAGTAAGGGAACACACTGAAATTCTGTGGGAAGATCTTTTCACTCTCTCCATCCTATGTGAAGAGAGGAATGAATTTACAAACTTTGAAGAGTAAGAATGAATCAGCATTGTTTGCCATTCCTCCGCAAGTGAGGTTTATACTTCCCCAAACAAAACTGCCAGGACAATATAACAAGACTCTACTATTTTAATGGATTTTGGCCACAAATAGCTGCATATGGGTAGCATAGCAGTAGTTTGTTTATGATCAAATGAAATGAAGAACATTTTGCACAACTGGGTTTTCTCTTGTTTTCCCCTCTTTATCTTATTTTAAAAAATCCTTTGGATTAGAATCTCAAAATAGCAGAGATTAGTTAAGAATACAAAGATTAAAGCCTATTTTCTCATTATCTATGGAAAGTAGATGGGAAGAAAATACATAACATCCTCTTGGCAATAGGCTCCCCCATATTGTATTTTATTGCTTTTATTGGGGTTTTGGAGTGTGTATGTGGTAGGTTTTTTGTTTTTGGTAACTCCTTTTCTAAATCAACTTCATTTGTTTTGTTACCTTGGCTCTTTGAGTGTAATTAACCCTTTAATTAATTGCTGGATCTCAAAAAGTGTCTGAAAACACAAACCCAAATACCATCGCCTTCTGTTGAAATAGTACAAATCAGGAGTAAAGATTTAGCTGTGCCTTTGGCTCCAGGGGACGATTTGATGAAATTCAATTAATCTCCCAAAGGGATAATCTGGACCCAGGTCAACTTGGAAGACAATTTTGATGACCCTGAGGCTCTACTTCTACCACCTCTCTCCTGGTGAGGGAAAACATACCAGCAGATTTTAACCTGGCATTTATAAGAGCTGAGAGTTAGGTCTGCAACTAACGTAAAGTAGAGGCTGGACAATGTCCGCCTTTCCATCTTGTGATCAAATCTGTGGCAAGAGCTATCTGTCCTCCCAATGGCAGTTTTCTAGGAAGTGGGATTGCGGTGGAAAGAAAGAGATAAAAAAAACCATCCCCGAGTACTGCTGGCTTTGGCCCAGCATGAAGAATAATTTATTTCCCTACACTCAGCTGTTTAGGTTGGATTCAAGCAAACGGCTAAAGAATAAAAGAAGGTACTGAGAGAATAAGTATTAAATATCTCCCTTAAGGAATTGGATATAATTCCCTTAATATGGAACATGAGTCCATATTAAGATATTGAGATATTTTTTCCTAATCCATCAAAGGATCTATCTAATATCAGGATTTGCTGAAAGAGCTGAACAAAAGCCCTAGTTCAGGATACTTTTTCGTTCTGTCTTGATTGTTGTGAGCAGTCTGAGTCCTGAGATTCATGCCAGGTGTAGAAGAAAGAAGGAAGGTAGAGGTTTTTAAAATAATATCACATAGAGGAGAAGAAAAGAATTGTGCTGGAAAAAACTTTGGAATAAGACAGGGTCTGGGTTTGTCCTCTCTGCATCCTTTGAAACAATAAGACCTTCCTCTCCCCAGAACGTACTTTATCTCCAGCTTGCGTAGCAACTACCACTGAGAATGTTCTGATTGCACAAGAATAGGAAAAGCCAGATGCTCAAGATCACAGAATATCTTACACAGTCACACTTGCTCTTCCCAGTAGGAAATAGGCCTCTATGTACACATTACAAATAACTTGAATTTGGACTGAAGGTGCTTCTTTCAAAAGAAGCTACTGGCACATGGGCCTCTGCCTTGAAACATCGTATCAAGTGCCAGGTCCACTGATGCCCACATCTAAAAAAAAATCCTCTCATACCACCATGCTATAAATGCTGTATTTTTTTACCCCATCATTTCCTGCTTCAGATCTCCACACTAGAAGGTGGGAAAAGCTAGGAATCAGCTGCCCTAGATAGTGCAAAGAGCATCACTGCTCAAGGACTCCAAATCTTCCTTGGTTCCCTCTGCAAGTGCAAGAGCTTAGTTGCCAATTTCCCACAAATTTAAAAAAAAAAATTGATTAAAAGAGTTTCCATCTCTGTACATGATAATCTTCAGATGGCAGGCTGCCGGATGAATGTTAAATAATTCCTCCACAGTAAATGATTGAAAATAAAAGACAGCTGCCATTTTTGGTTTCCTCCACGGCTGCTTCTCTTTCCAGTGTGTTTCCTGGGCTCTCCAGGTGGGGCTGGGCATGTCAGACCTTGGCCTCAAGCATCTCTAGGAAGAGTTTGTGCATGGGGACTTTGCCTTGCAGTTTGATGCTATAGAAGTGCTGCACAGCTTTGGCAGCTGTTTGTCGCAGGAGAGGCAGGGTCAGCAGCAGCTTTCCTGCACGTCGCGGTTCCTCATGACGTTGACTCAGCTCATAGTCCTGAAGGGCTTCATGGAGAAGATCTTGTAGTTTCTGCACTGCCTCCATGTCCTCTATGTGCATTGAATCTTTAGGGAAAAAGCAAAATTAGTGAGGGAATCAGTCGAGATAAATGGGCAGGGAACATATTTAATCTTAGGACACAGTGCTTCATGGCAGAAAAAAGCTACCTGAAAAACCAAGAGAAACGGCTTTTGGAAGGTGTATCCTATCTGAGAATCTATGCAAAAGGTGTTTTGGAAGAGACAGGCATACCACTAAATCAGGGGTAGGCAACCTCGGCTCTTTTATGACTCATGGACTTCAACTCCCAGAATTCCTGAGCCAGCTATGCTGGGAGTTGAAGTCCATGAGTCATAAAAGAGCCGAGGTTGCCTACTCCTGCACTAAGTCAATCTATTTTTGCATTAAATTATGTAGCAAAGTTATTAGAATATGATGTTTGATATGCCTGAAATATACAAAATGAACAACAAACTCAGCACTAGGAGCTTTAAATCATGAGCTCCAAGCCTGACCTAATTAATGTGCTATACTAACATTCTACATTCTCAAGAGATTTCTCCTTCTAGATCAACTTGAAAATACTGAAAACTAATTTAAGAAGCCTTGAAAAATTGGATGGGTTTGCTTGCTTGTTGCTAATCAGATATCAGTTTGTTTGTCTATATTTCTGCTTTCTAATTTGTACAGTGTACCAATACATGGATTGGAAGAATCCTCCCTGAATTGTTTTTAAAGCTCTTGCTGCAGTTATGGTAACACGTCGCAAAAAAGAAAGACAATTAGGAACAAAAGCAACACAAACACTAATAATATATTAAATTTATATGACTACCAACTCAGGGAACCTCAAAATCAGTCAAAATATTTATTTTACATTAAAAATAAAAAGCTATATTTACTGTATTTTACAGTTCAAACATTTTGCAGATGACACAAATTTGGATGGGATGCTAACACTCCAGAAGACAAATAATTTCAAAACGATTTTGATAAATTAGAAAAATGAGCTGAAAATAATAGAATAATTTTTTTTATTTCACTTAGGAAAACAAAAAATAAATATATAGGAATGAATAAAATGGGGAATATGTGGCTTGGTACTTATGAAAAAGATCTTGGAAAAATAGTTGATTGCAAGCTCAGAATGTAATTTATACTTGCATCAATTGAAAAACAAATTCTAAATCATTGGAACTTATTTTTCATTTTATTCTGCTTTTGTCAACCCAGTTTTGAACTGCGCTTCTCCTGCAACTCGTGCAAAGAGCTGGCTGTGTTTAGCCTCCAGAAAAGACAACTGAGGGGAGATTTGATAGCACTTTTAAAATACCTGAAAGGCTATCATATAGAAAAAGCCCCTGACGTGCCATCTTTTGTTCCAGAGTGCAAGACTGAAATAGTGGATTTAAGTTACAGGAAGGCAGATTTTAACTGAATGTTAGAAAAAAATTCCTCTTCCTAACAATAAAAGCAGTTTAACAATAGAACTAATTACCCTGAGAGAGGGCGGACTTCCCCTTATGAGATGTGCTCAAATGAGGGCTAGAGAGTCATTCACACAGGATGCTTTAATTTGGATTCCTGCACTGACTAGTGGGTAGGGGTCAACGGTATATAGCCTCCTCCAATTCTGTGATTTTATGAAAGATTTTTATTAGCTTTCTCCTCTACCCCTGCCCACAATTCTGGGAATTTTTCCTAGTGGGACATTGGTATGAGCAGACAAAACAGTCCAAAATGCAGATTTTGGGATTGTTTTGTCTGAATTAGTCTTTTGGAAGGCAATGGAATTTTACCAACTTGGTGACTATAGAAATATGGGAGAAGACTAATAACTTGCTTTCTTTCACTTCTGAATAGAATAGAAAGGGATTTGTATTTAGATATGGATCTGAGGAACAGGTTATAGAGATATGGTACTTGTTTACTGGCTAATAAACAAGAAAGTAATTGGTTGATAGCTCACTGTGCTCAGCTTTGGGACAAAAAGTAAAATAACTGATTCGTTGGTAGGTCTCTGTAATTTTAGTGTCATAAATATATAAATATGCTATGCTTTTAGTGTCCTTCGAGCCAAAAGATCCAAAAGTAATCAGCCCATCCAGATCATTTTTCAGGTGCATTTAAACGATTCAAAAGCACTGCAAGATGATAGGTTGGTGGAAGAGCCCCATGCAAAGAAAACATATATAACAGCTGATCAAAATAGGCTCAGAGCTGCTGTTCTAAACTCATCAAGCTTCCCACCCTGATTTTCTGAAGTGCACAAAGGACCAAACTTTGAGCCAATATTATGGGATTTGTTTCCAGCAAGCCAATGCTGAACTGTTATCAATATAGTTCTGATGGACCGTTGATTACAAAATCAATAACCATTATTTTTTTTAATAGATGTCAGGAGATGGGGAGCTATTAGCCTGATTTCTGATGGTGGGCAATTTCTTCCCAAATTGTAACAATGGGCTTATTCCTCCTTTCAAAGCACAGGTACCATTTTTTTATTCTTATAAAAAAAACCAATCCCTCCACATTCCCAGTTGCTGCTCCTTTCGTCCATGACTTTACCTGAGTTGGCAAGAGCCAGGGCCTTCAGAGTGACAAACTCTTCCTTCTCCACCTTCAGCTTTTTGTACCGCCGCACCAGCTGCAGGATGGCCAAATGGAGCTCCAGGAGCCCCGTCAAACGTGAATGTTCCTCATCCATGATGTAATCTTCAGCGTAGACCAGTTTATCCTCATAAGGTAATGAGCGATACACAATACCCAGGATGAGGATTTCCATCCAGGCGCTCTGCAGTAAGCTCATCTGGTCTCCCAAAGAAAGGTTAGAAAACCCTGGCGAGGCAAAGGAACCACAGATTAGGAATACTGACCAAGCAAAAGGTACCGAGTTGCTGCTTTCTAGAAAACTGGCAGAGGCAATTCACCTTATGGTTGTTGAGTGTTTGTTTTTTTCTTTTGACCTAAGAAATTAATCCCAAAATAAATGCAAAAGTGCTATCTAACCTTTCCAAGTGGGTTACCCTTTGCTGTATTGTGACTGCAACTTGCAAAATAATAATAATAATAATAAAGTTGGAAGGGACCTTGGAGGTGATCGAATCCAACCCCCTGCTCAGGCAGGCAGGAAACCCTACACCATTTCAGACAGATGGTTGTCCAGTCTCTTCTTAAAAACTTCCAGAGTTGGAGCATTCACCGCTTCTGTTGTTCCATTGGTTAATTGTTCTAACTGTCAGGTTGTTTCTCCTTAGTTCCAGGTTGCTTCTCTCCTTAATTAGTTTCCATCCGTTGCTTCTTGTCCTGCCCTCAGGCGCTTTGGAGAATAGCCTGACTCCCTCTTCTTTGTGGCAACCCCTGAGATATTGGAACACTGCTATCATGTCCCCCCTTGTCCTTTTCTTCGTTAAACTAGACATACCCAATTCTAGCAACCGTTCCTCATATGTTTTAGCCTCCAGTCCCCTAATCATCTTTGTTGCTCTTCTCTGTATTCTTTTTAGAATCTCAGCATCTTTTTTACATCGTGGTGACCAAAACTGGATGCAGTATTCCAAGTGTGGCCTTACCAAGGCATTGTAAAGTGGTATTAATACTTTGGCTGTTACAGGAAAAGTGTCCATAGACAAACTGCTCAGTGAAATGGTTTCGACTCTGAGCCAGTCCTATAGACGTACTTCAATAAGACAGAGGCCTATTCATATTTTCAAAAGAGAAAGCAGCTTTATATAAGAAGGTACTTCCTATTCGCTTGTTCTTAAGGCTGGGCAAAGCATTTCCAAGAGATGCTTCATCAAATACCCTTCGTGAAGTGCTGGAGCAGCTGCCTTTGCTAGAAGTCTCTCCTAGATGTCTCTGTATATATGGGCAGACAAAGCCCCAATTTTCATTGGAATGAACACCAAAGCGAAGTGGTGGAACTGTGCAAGTAAAGACAACAAGGAAAGCCTTCAAATCAGTTGCACTGATCCCTATGGAGAATGTAACAGCTTTAATATTTCAAGAGCTAGTGCTTCAGTCTTGCCAGCATGCCTTGTAATAGGCCCTTTTGGGATATTTGGTCCCGTCTAGTTATTGCCATGTTAACATGAAAAGGAGAGAAAGAGAAGGATGATGTATTGTACGTGAAAATAATCAGTCATGTTATAGAAAACTCTACTTCAAATGCACTTGTATCCCAGCAAGTATCAAAGGTGGGAGTGGGTTAGGAGGGTCAAAAAAGGCAAAATGGTGATTGTAGCAGCATGATCAAAGCCTAATCTTTTCTACATGTGTGCAACATTGTTATACAGAATGTACTAAGGTTTGACTGTGACTCAAGGAAATAGGGACTTAATATTAACCACCACTGAATCATGCATTATCTCTCTTCCTTAATAAAGAGTTGAAGGGAAGTGGGACTTATCGTAAGATATAAGCTATCACCTTATCTGGGTAAAATATGTATCTTCAGGCCACGTGGAAAAAGAACTGACATACAGGCAGGTGCACTGAATTAACTTCAAAGTAATAAGGTAAAACACAAACAAAAACCTGTAACTAAGTCCATTAGAACCAGTTAAGTCTAATGGCTGAGAGCAAATGTGATCATAAATAAAAGAAAACTCTCATCTGCTTTCCAACCACAGATCTGTGAAAAATCAAAAGTAAGCTTGAAAAGAAACTATTCTCTGTCAATGAAAAGATAAAGTTAGGCATTCTAACAAGTGTGGAAGAGGAAACAGAGACACAAGGAAGTGTAAAAATATCTCCCAATATTCCAATTAAATTTTTTTAAAAGTGCTAAGAAATTTACACCAGTATCAGTAATGATTCCACTCTAAGGTAAAATGCCTTTACAATTATAATGGTATTTAAGGGAATATCATACTATTTTATTTTTCCAATATGGATATGTTGTTGCTTGCTTGTGGGATACTCTTTCAAAATAATTGAAAATAGGCAAGAGTCCTTGTGTAAAAGAAATAAAGATTTCCCCCCCCTTGCTAGTGATAGGAAAACAGAAGATAAAAGCATTATTGCCAACTGCAGTCATGCCCCAATATTGAAGCCATGCCTCAGATACCTCACACTATGTTAAAATACCATCTCCAAATGTGTGCCTTTCAGAATGAATAGAATAGAATAGAATAGAATAGAATAGAATAGAATAGAATAGAGCTGGAAGGGACCTTGGAGGTCTTCTAGTCCAGCCCCCTGCTCAAGCAGGAGAGCCTATATCATCTCAGACAGGTGGATGTCCAGTCTCTTCTTAAAAATCTCCAGTGATGGAGCACCCACGATTTCTGGGGATAAGCTGTTCCACTGGTTGATTGTCCTCACTGTCAGGAAATTTCTCCCTAGTTCCAGGTTGCTTCTCTTTTTGGTCAGTTTCCAACCATTGTTTCTGGTCCTTCCATCTGGTGCTTTGGTGAACAACCTGGCCCCCTCTGCCTTGTGGCAGCCCCTCAGATACTGGAACACTGCTATCCTGTCTCCCCTATTTCTTCTTTTCCTTAGACTAGCCAGACCCAAAATGTATCTCCTAACACTTCTGAAGGTACCAATTTGGGGAACAATGTACTAAGAGTTCAAAGCTTTGATTTACTGTGTGAAGATTTAGTGAAATCAAAAAGCATACATGTTTCTTCTATAGAGGATACTTCAGTTTCATTACTTGGTAGCAAATAGTATATACAAATAAAAAGTATAAGCAGTTTGGCCTAAAAATTTTCCATGCGTCTTATGAGATTATTCTCCTCTTCTTCTTTTAGTCTTAACTACTTTCTCTGTTACCCTAGAGTTCTTTCTTAGTCATGTCTGACTAACTGTGATATATCCTTATTTAGAAGTTTTTATTCCCAAAAACCCCTCAGCTCATGCAGTTGTGTGTGCCTTCCTGCACTTGGACCAAGGGACTCAGGATGATTTGATTTCTCTTGCTATCAACTTGGCAATTAACAAAAGAGCCAGTGATTGCTATATTGACTGGTCGGGAGTTCTATTTTTCTATCTCAGCTATCTCAACTAAAGGAAGAGAGGGCAGAGGGATGGGTCAGTGGCATTTATCTATCACTATACCCTATTTTGTATTTGTGTTGCCAAAGGAGGTAAGGGGTGATAATGGCATAGCAGTCCTTAGACATCCAATTTCCCTTATCAGGCCACTGAATAGAAAAGAGGCCTCAAGCCACATTAATTAACAGATACCAATCAGCTGTCACATGTTGTATGTGCGTGTATGAAGTCTGACGGGTAAGAGGTAGGGATCAATAAAGCACTGGAGAAGAGGGCAAGAAGAAATTAGAGGACAGCTGAAGAGGAATCTGGGGCACTCTGGAGATGAATTACAAATTTGATCTTTGTTTGGCAAATGTGGAAAGGAGCTCAACTTGGCAAAACTGGGCAGTCATGCCCTAGTGACAACAAACTTTGGTTCTGTTCTGTATGCCTGAGCAACAACCACCTACAATCAGTCATGGTTGAGTAAAGGAGCTTTTTTTTACTGTTACATTACATTTACCTACTGGTAGTAACAAAATTGTGTTCCTAAAGCTTTACATATATTGGAGAATCACAATATACAAAGTACACAGATTATTTTAATGTCCATGCTTCAGAAGAAGTTCTAATTTCCATAATAAAATTAATTAAGACATGAAGATTGCCTACCATTTTAATGCATTAAAAACATTATTCTACTCTGAGTCAGCAAAGAACTCATAATCTGAAGATGAAATATAATATGAGATATTTTGTGCTAACCATATAGAAAGGTCTTCAGCCAGGTAAGGATTATATAATTTTTAATTCAGGCCCTGTTCTCCTTTTGACAGATACAGTTAAACATTTTAACTATGCACTTTGTGCTTGGATCTTGCATTAAGATATTCACCAGACAGTCTACTAGCTTGTTTTTTTTTTACTAATTTGTGAGGTATCCCTTTATGAATTGTCTCAACATTGTAACAAAACATACAAATTCAGATTTTGGCTACAGCATTCTCCACTTCTAACAGGAGTGGATGGCTAAAACGTCTTTTTCAGGTTCAGTTCTATCATCTATCATTTATCTTTGCACAATCTTGTCACCTCAGCTAATATTGTTAAATATTTTACAAGAGAGTCTGATGTCACTTTTCTTTCCTTATTTAATAATAAAAAGAAATAAGCACTGATCAAATACTACATTTATGAATTCTACTTCTTCTCTGGTGCTCTTGAATGACTTCTTAGAGAGTCATTCAAGCTGATCAAGAATCACACAGATAGTAAAATGTGGTATTGCCATATACCCAACCAGATTGCTAACATAATGGTATGAAGTATAATAGCATTTCCATTCAGTTGCTTAAGCAAATTCTCCTGGTGATTTGTTAGGAGAGCAGGCAATAAAATAATCACAGTGCAATATTAAAAATGGAGGGTTGGGCAACTTAGGCTGAATTCTAAAAATACAGAACATTTGTGAAGAGTTGCTTACAAGACACAAGAACTGGGAAATCTGCCTGTAAGACTGTACTCTCAGAAAGATTAAATATGTAGTTTGAGGGTGGTCTTAATTATCAACCAGAGAATCAAGTGATCCTGAGGTTAGGAGTGTCAATCACCAGTTTTGGTTGGAAAACCAATTATGCCTATTCCTGGCCCTGCTAAATAAATCCATGCACTGATAACACTGTATTTATACGACTGTAACAAAATGTACCTAACTAGCTACCTATCACTGCATTCTGGAATGTCCCATTTGTGAAATTTGTGAAGTGCTTATTAGGCTCCTGTTGAAAACTGATTCCTTCATCCAGGCCTTCACTGAAAGTTTATTATGGAGGAATATTTTTCTTTTGTTCTGCCTG